CGAGACATTCTTTCCCAGCCTCACATGCTGCTTCCTGTCCGTCAGGAAGTCAGTGATCCACCGGTAGATGGGATCAGGCACATTCATCTGGGAAAGCTTGCCTCGGAGATGGTCTGGAAGGATGGTGTTGAAGGCAGAGCTGAAGTCCACAAACAGGATCCTGGCGCAGATTCTCAGTTCAGACCGGTACAGACCAAATAAGGAAACGTCTTCCTGCCCTCTGAGCAAAGAAGTATCCTTTGTATAGTTTATCAGTTCAGCTACAATTTATGATTATCCCAGCAAAATACACTCCTAGACATAGAATACAGAGTTCTTTCATTAGTGAATTCTGAAACAAACCACCTGGCCTTTAACAAGCTCTTTTCTAGGAGATAAAGAAGGGAGGATGGGAATAAGGAAGTGATCTCTGTGGTATTTTCGACCTTGGTACCAGCCTGTGATTCTTACACATTAATTCTTGGGTCACAGAGAAAGAGAAAAACAACTAGTAAATGGGCCTTATTGAGTAACAGTTTTCCTGTATAATATCACTATAAAACAATATCCTGTAAATGCTACCATGGTATCAAAATATCACAACTGTTCCTAAGTAAATGTATTTTGATCAGTTAAATTCCACCTCCGGCCATTTTTATGGAAATGTATGAAAAATATACATCCTATAATAAAATAATCCATTTAATGTAGGCCCTTGGATATTTTATTATACTGTGCCAAAGTGAAATGACATTAGTCACACAAACTACACTAACTGTTTACTGACTAATTGTAACACTACTGTTAGCTAAAGGACACAGCTTAATAACGTTGTTTTTACATGTGCCAAGTACATCACAAAATCTAAAAGTTCTCCAGTAAAAGTAAAACAAATTAGATAAAATAAAGATTTTCTCTAGCTGCTGTGCACACGAAACAGTGCGTTGTATCTACACCATCTCACTTAAGGGTGCCTTAGTTTCAGCCTTCAGTCTTCACAACTTGCATTATTATTCCTACAATACTGCTGTTCATTATCTGTCTGAGAGTTGTAGAGTTAAAGTTTTTAACACATTAATAGAACTTTAGATCTACTTTGAACTGCATTGTACTGCATGTCAATTCAGCAGTTTATATACTGCTAGTAAATACAATATTGTTATTATTATGTGGAGGCTCATTCTGGGTCAATGCCCACAGGTTTCTGTTCAGGTTAATAGGTAGAGACGATACATGTAAAAGCTGAGAATGGTACTCCTACGACGGAACCGTAATCTTCACGCCATTAATCATCACAGCAGCGGAGAACACCCAGAGGACCTGACCTGATGTCGTAAATTCCCTGCCCTTCCTGCACCTTGTTCTGGTTTCTGAAACACTGGCTCAGGGCCCAGAATTGGTCAGTTACTGAAATACTGCCAAAAGGCCAACAAGTTACTGAGAAAAAGAAGAACGTCCAAGCACAACAGAAAGAAAGAAAAGGATAGAGGAAATAAAGCAGAGCTCCAGTCAGTGCCTAGTGATTAAGTTATGTAGAGTCCACTTGAGCTCACATCTGCCTTTTTCACAACTAACAATTCTCTGTAATAAATACCAATATTAAAACCACTGTCACAGCATGCCATGTTTTTGTGCAAGAGCTTTGGTGTGTTTACTTCTACGCATGATGCACCTTTCCACTGAGCAGCTAGAGGAGGAGAGCATGTGAGGAGTGTGTGATGAGCCAAGCCGTTAAATGAAAGAAGGAAGGCCTGAGATAAACAGCATCTCCTGATCTCAGCATCACTTATAACCAGCTGGAGTCCAAACCAGCGCACAGCTTCAGCACAATGCCACTACTGACAGTGGGGAGTGACATCTCCGTTTTTATTTTAACCTGTGAGTTCCAGACACACGAAGTTTATTTTTAACTGCTGACTGGAGTTTGTTGATGGTGAAAACTACACGAAGCAAGTTATAAAGTCTTTACGGTCTACATCACAAATAAATTATATAAAAAACAGTTAAAGAATTTGTTACTTAACTAAAATGAGTTTACTAAAGTCGGCTTTAAACAGTGTACCCTTTTAAAAAGTACATATCTTATGATGCTTATTTCGGGGTTTTACTCACTTTAACTCTGAATAAACTACTCATGATGTGCTTTATTTGGGCTTTTTGGTTTTCAAACATTCGACGACAAACTACACATGTAAGCAGGTCTGATCGTGTTTAAAGATCGGTTCGTATTTTGCTTTCCTCAGTTTTGTCAGCTCTGGTCCTCTGCGTCTCCTGTTTGGTCGCTCCCGATCAAATACTGGCACATTTTGGCCCTTTATTAGCTTGTTTTTCTGAATCGTCACGATGGCTGTAAACCAGGATCGTGCCACCAGGCGGTTTCGCTTACCTGGGATCTTTCCCGAATCGCTTTGTTTCCCAGCCTCCCGGAGCAAAAGGAGATCAGCTTATCGATCAGGTTGAGCAAGAAGTTGATGGCCTCGCAGCCGCGTTCCGATCCGCTCACCCAGGCGATCTTGTCTCCACGGATGCTCCTCCGGTGGACTGCCGGGACGGATCCGGCCAGCCGGCCGTCCTGCAGAACTCCAGAGCGGTGCATGTCTTTCACCTGATCCAACACCGCGCCCCCGGCCAGCTCGCCGAGGAGTCCGTCCACGTAGTAGAAGCCGTATTCCTGCAGGGCCGGGACGACCTGCTCAAGAGCCAAACGCTCCAATTCCGTGTCCGATAAGTGTTCAATGAAAGGCATTTTAACTGTTGAGGTAATCTTGGAAGTTTAAAAAAACGTACAAAAAGAAACGAGTCGCAGGTTCAAAGTTTTGGCTGTAAAATGATTGAATCGACAAACAGAGAGAGGGAAGCCCGTTTCGCCGTCAGCTCTGTTTCTGTGACGGTCTGAATTCAGCCCTGCTGAAGTCCAACAGTCAAGCACCGAGCTGACAGAGTTCACGGAATACCTCTGAAGTCCTGCGTTTCTCCGCTCGCGTTTATCATTCTGCCCACGACACAGGCGATCAAGCGACTGTACAAGTACACCACATCCGGTAACGGATTTCACAATAAGTGTCGCACTGCCTGACAAACCTTTTGCCTCTTGGTGTGTTTAATTTTTAACGGTGGTCGAGGGGATTGTTAGTTATTACAAGGGTGTCTGGAACATCAGTTCCAGAAAAAATAAAATAATATATCTGAAAGAATAAACCTTCAGCGTGGGACTAAAATATTTCAGTATGAGACTAAACAGGCTGCTATAGAGCATTTCTCATTAATTGCTGAAAACTAATCAATAATATGATCAAAAGACATTTTAACAAATCATTTTTGTACAAGTGATTTGTCACGTAAAATGCTAAATATTCTAAGCTCAGCAATAGTTCAAACTAATCTGTCGCATTATATATACACTAAGCATTCTGATGAAATTCAACTGTATTGAAATTCGTCATGATGCTTAACTGTAAAACACAAAGCTAACTTTTAAATCAAATGCACTAATTCTGATATTGATTCGACATTTAGCCTTCAATAAGACGAATTCCTCTGAATTGACAATTGATTCTTGAGAGTTACGATAGTTTTATAGCTTTATTTTACAGGAATGCCGGCCTACTTCCGGTGGCATTCCTCTAGCTTTACAGTAGAGATCGGGGAGTGAATGTGCGAGGAGTGAGAGACGTGCTGGATGTGATGTCCACTGTGTGGGGGAGAGGTGAGGCTTCGTGACTTCCCCACTGCGTTTCTCTTTTATGGCCTCCTCTTACATCACGTGACGATTCGCGTGCCAGATCATTTTCACTTGAATTCCCACACAAAACAAGCGGTACACAAAAAAACAATGTGCCACAACAAGAAACCACGGCAGCACAAACTCCACACAGATCATTCACCTCGTTGTCAGCAACACAAAATATCACGCAGTAAAGTTGCCACAATGCGAGTTAGTTAAAGTTAAAGGAGCAGCAGTGGTTCGGTAACGTGCCCACGCGCTGGGCGTGCCCGTCGCCATTAAGTACTACGTGAGCTGCATGTAGCCCTCGCGCTCACTGCCTCCTCCCCTCCCTAATGGAAGTAAACAGTGAACGTGTACTTGACCACGTGCAGGGAAAATACAAAGCAGCTGCAACGGAAACTATCATGCAGCATACAGGATAATAATATTAAAATAAATAAATAAATATATAAATAATAATAACAATAAAACTAAACCCGTAAACAATTGAAGTGTATTACCGGGTATGTCTTAAAATCGTTCATCTTTAATTAATTATTTGCAGCAATTTTAAATTCTAGTATTCAATTAAATTTTATTTATACAGCGCCAAATCACAACAACAGTCGCCTCAAGACTATGATTATGGTGCTATAATTACAGTGGAGTGTTGAATGCTGCACACTTTGATTACAGAGACTCAAAAAATAAAGATTGACTCTATGTCAGATATTGGATTATTTGAACACATACTGGGAGACGTTAAGCTGGAAAAAAAACCCCCCAAAAAAACAAATCAGGATTCCACAGACCTGCTGAGATATGTGAGCCCAACAGCTCTTTGCTTTTCACAAGACAACGGAAAGGTTTGAAATGGCTGGTTTAATCTACAGCATTATAAAATGTTGTATTGTTCACTGTGTAAAAACTTCCTATGATTACCACAAGCTGTAAAAACGCAGTGTAGTAAAAAGAACAATGTTACACTCTGAAATAATTTGGAAGTATAATTCAAGAAAAGTGTACTCAAGCACTGTAACCTCCTAAATGTTCTTAATTACTGTCAGGAAAAACATTTGAAATCTCTCACAGTAGTCCATCCCAGACTGTACACATAAACTCCAAAGTAATCAAGAGTTTATTGAGAAATAGGTCCCCTGCCAATATTGGCAGTTATGTACAAATCACTGATAAAAATAAAGATTCAAAGATCCTGAGGAAACACTAAAACAGAATTCCTATGGAATAAAATCACCTTCAGATATAAAGTAAGTGAGGTGCATGGGGATGTAGACGGAGTATGACAGCTACTAACCTTGTGCCTTCCTCTGATCTTGTGCTTCCCCAACTTCCCATCGGCGTAGGTGACCAGTTTGTCCATCTTCGACAGCAGGTAGCCGATGTTCTCGCAGCCTGGCTCGTTTCCTTCCACCCAAACTATCTGGTCTCCACGAATACTCCTAGTGTTGTCCAGGCCTCTGCTGGCCAGCTTGCCGTCCTGCATCTTCCCGGAGTGGTGCAGCTCTTGGACCTCTTGCAGAACCCGGTCTCCAATTTTGCTCCCGAGGAAGTTGTCAATGATGCACATGCCATAGGAGTTCATGCTGGGGATGATGTAGTGGAGCACCAGTCTGTGACTGCTGCGGTACCTCCGGTCTTTGGATCTGGGATGGGCGCTCCAGGGAAGAGCATAGGGTACGATCCCGGCCCTATTTTTCCCAGCCCCAGCCCTGGCTATATCTCTGACTGTTTTCCCGACTTCACTCACAGCTTCAATTCCAGCTTCAACCCCAGTCCCATTTTCTTGGATCTGACCTTTCATGTCTGCAACTGTAACACTGTTGCTGCTGGTCCCAAATGTAACGCCACCTCCAGTATCGAACCCTGTATCAAATCCAGCTTTGACACCAGTCCCAACTTGGGGCTCTACCTTGGCCCCCACAAAAGTGTCTCCAGGTCCAGTGTCAGCACTGCTAAACCTCCAGGGGAGCAGCTGATCTGCATGTCTGTGGTCATTATCATCATCATTGACAAGTTTGTGGGAGTCAGTTTTAATTTCTTCCTTATTCACAACCTTGGATAGAGGACTCATGTCTGCATGCGTTCCCATCCGACTTGTTTAGCTGCTCTACACTCTGCTGACTGTTTTATAGGAAAGCACAAAGCCCCCAGGAAAGAACAGGAAGACAGAAAATGAGCAAGCTGGTTTCCAAAATAAGAGTGAGAGTAAAGGCCACCTTAATAGCTACACAAACAGCCATTACAAAAATATATCAAAAAGTTGAAAAAAAAAAGTATCACAAGAATATATGCTGGAAAGGACTTTCCTTCACTATCCAAAAACCATCCAAAATCATTTGTCGACAATGCTTTTATTTTGAAAGTTTTGGTCAGAAGTTTTTGTTGCATTGTACTTTAATGGGTTAGGATAGTTTTTGAAAGTCTAATAATAATAATAATAATAATAATAATAATAATAATAATAATGTTTTAGGTTGTTCCACAGTCTACCGTGACCTTTTTGGCAGGATAGCCTGTCTATCGAAGTTGTACTTTTAAACTTATTCAGTAAAATATAGGCGGACTGTTCCTCCAAAACATACACAGAATGTCTTAAAACAGCTATCTGACGCGCATTTCTGCCAGCACCGCGCTGTTTGGCCGACTCCAGACCGTTTGTATCTGCCAAACTGAGAGTAAAGTCGTATTTTTTACGTTGTCATTAAAAAAATAAAAACAACATTTTCTCGGAAACAGCTGTCGGGGTAGTGTACCTGCTGGTTTTTTCCCCCAGTCAAAAAGCCGTGTGAATCCCGTTACTGCTCCCAAAAAAGTCGCAGTGGAATAATCTGCTGTCACCTCGGAACGTACGTGACTTGCGGCAGATTCTAGTACAGAGGCTGCCTCGGATGACCGAAGCACGCACTGAGAGTCGAGCGAAGGGTGCACGTTAGCTGAGACATCCCGAGAGTGCAGGAAGGGGCTGAAACATCACTGCTGCTATATAAAGACGCAGAGCTAAACTTTAAAGAAGTGACCATCAGATTAATAATATCGGTTTGCTAATAAAAGCAACACGTATGCCGATTTTCTGGTGACTGTATCTTACAGCCGTCGAACTGTACAATACCCCTATTTAAACGTGCATTGGTTAAGTTAGTTATCTTTTTAAGCACATTTAAGTAGAGAGAACCAAGAGATTTTGAGTAATTATCAAAAAGGAAGAAGAAACCTCTAGGTTCATTTATTTAATGATAAATAAATGATTAATGATAATTTAATCCTCTTTCTCAGAGGAAGGCGTATAGATACGTAAACACGGCATAATACTATTTAGCTCTAGAAGGATCTAAACTTTAGAGATCGCTATAAGTAGACATTAAGGTCAGGGGAGAAGATAAGGTGTGGTCAGGGGTGGCCAAGGTCACCACAGCAACTCTATTCAACCCACATATAAAATGTAAAAGTTTACCTTCATGAAATGAATGTTTTTGTTTGTTTGTTTAAAATTACAGACATTGATTTTTTTTTAACAAAAGGATGTTAGAAAATTATGTTGTCAGTAAAGGTTCTAGAAGAAGAATGTAAGTCAAAATGAGGTTTCATATGCTACACTCATCTTTATGGTGGAATAACCATGGAAATTTGAGCCAAAATGCACTTTTTGAATAATCCAGGGCATCAGCGTTTATTTCTGCTCCTCTTCAACATGATCATTGAATTGGTGCCATTTTGCTATTGAAACTATGTAATGATACTGATGCTCAGAGTATGTTTTAGAAGAAAATTATGTTGAACGACAAGATTCCGGCCTTGGGTTGTGACATGTGGAGATGGTGTAAAAATGATTTTTCTGCAGTTTTTAACAGAGCTTAAGATCTGTTTTTCAACCATGAAAATATAAGACACGAGTGACCCGTAAGAATCTGCATGGCAGGCATAACAACAGCTCTTCAAATTCCCTAAATAAGTGAAGGTGCTTTAGTGCTTCCCATATTATGTCCTTTAGGCTACACTGGATGATTCTTTATGAAAGGAAAGGAGGTAATGCTCTCCTAATAAACCGTCAGACAATAAAATTTCATGCCATAAATTGCTGATTTGGTCTAAACCAAACTTTCAGATACAGGCTGTATTAAACCCTTCACTGGACTCTGAACGTCACACTTTTGTGATCCAATCTACATTTTGTCAAGTTATTGCTTTATATGAATATTTATAGTAAATTAAATTAAACATAAATAAATAAAATCTATAAATTAACATTTTAATAGTAACATGATTTCTTTGCAAGTGGTTATATGACCCTCATGCGAAAACATGGTGAGAATTTGTGGAGGGAATCATCTAAGACGTTCTTTTTGTAGTCCCTTTTAAGGACATTGTAGTTTCACCTTAAGAGACCCACATTAAAGATCAAGGAGCCAGTGTAAGGGCAATTGGAATCTCTTCACATAAATCCTTATAAATGCTCCTTAACATATGTTCTTGATCACATGATGTTAATCATGGCAATTGCTTTGGACTATTCCATTACAGCCATTTCATTGATAATGATAACTGTGTGTACATATGTTGGGTTTAAAACTTTAAATTACATTTTTTTAAAAAACCTAAGACCAAATTAACTGAACAAAACCTGAACAGACAAACTATCAAATTCTTAGCTCCTGGAGACACAGGGTGTTTGGTTTGTTGTGGTTCATCATGGTTCTGGTCACACAGTAACATGTGTTAACAAGCATCTGCAGAATGCAAATCTACAGTACTGGACAAAATGACTAGTTTCACCTCATTTCTTTATTTTTTGCTAGGAAAATGGAAGAAGTCAAAGATGGAAATACAGCAGCATATAAGCAAAAATAGAGTTGTTACAGTTCTAATGAGCTTGAATGTTAATTTTTGGTATTGCCACCTCTACTCTTTAATAAAGCAATATTTCTTTTAGGCAAGCTTTCTTGTAATTTCCTTAGGTAGTTTCAAGAATAGTTCTCCAGATTTTTTTTAAGGACTATCCAAAGTTCTTCTTTGGGTGCTGGCTGCCTTTTATTTCTTGCTCTTTCAACCCCACGCTATTTTAATAATGTTTGGGCTCTGGGGAGGCCAATCCATGACTGACAGTCAGTGATGGGAATAACGGCGTTACTTTTTTCAGTAGCGCGTAATCTAACTAATTACTATTTCTATTGTTACAACGCTGTTACCGTTACTAACAAGAAAATGCGGTGCGTTCACGTTACTATTTTTCAACAAACAGTGTTGAAGCTGTCTTCAGCTTATCCCTTCTTATATCAGTTGCACGGAAGTAGCTGTAAGTAATCTGGGCGCTACAGCTTTAATCAGAATCAGAATCAGAAAGGGTTTTATTGTCAAATGTTGAGCAGGTTTACAACATTAGGAAATTGCTGCGGTGCTTCAGTGCAAACATACTGTCATAAATTACACTTAAATAGACATGAAAAAATAAGAATAAGAATAAGAATAAGAATTAAAAGTGCTACGTAGAAAGATATATACATGAGTGCAGGTGGTGATCAGTGCCAAACATGGAATGATGCAGTGAACACAGCGTAGGGTCATGTGTTAGTGGTGGGAACAGTCATACAGTTATTGTTCATGTGTCCAACAGCAGAGGGGAAGAAACTGTTCTTATGGCGAGAGGTTCTGGTGCGAATGGACCGGAGCCTCCTGCCTGAGGGGAGCAGGTCAAACAGACTGTGTCCAGGGTGAGAAGGGTCAGCTGAGATCCGAGCTGCACGCCGCAATGTCCTGGAGGTGTACAGGTCCTGCAGAGATGGGAGTCTGCAGCCAATCACCTTCTCAGCAGAGCACACAACACGCTGCAGTCTCTGTTTGTCCCTGATAGTGGCTCCAGCGTACCACACGGTGATGGAGGAGGTGAGGATGGACTCGATGATTGCGGTGTAGAATTGCATCATCGTCCGTGTTGGCAGGTTGAATTTCTTCAGCTGCCTCAGGAAGTACATCCTCTGCTGGGCTTTCTTAATGACGGAGGTGATGGTGGGCTCCCACTTCAGGTCCTGGGTGACGGTGGTACCCAGGAAGCGGAATGAGTCCACAGAGGTGATGGGGGTGTCAGACAGGATGATGGGGGGGAGTGGGGCTGTGTGCTTCCTGAAGTCCACAATAATCTCCACTGTCTTCTGGGCATTCAGCACCAGGTTGTTGTGGCTGCACCAAGACAACCTCCCTCCTGTAGGCAGGCTCATCCCCATCCGAGATGAGTCCAATAACGGTGGTGTCATCTGCAAACTTGATTAGCTTGACAGACTGGTGGGTGGAGGTGCAGCAGTTAGTATACAGGGAGAAGAGCAGAGGAGAAAGAACACAGCCCTGATGGTCCGGGAGTCCGAGACATTCTTTCCCAGCCTCACATGCTGCTTCCTGTCCGACAGGAAGTCAGTGATCCACCGGCAGATGGGGTCAGGCACATTCATCTGGGAAAGCTTGTCTCGGAGATGGTCTGGAAGGATGGTGTTGAAGGCAGAGCTGAAGTCCACAAACAGGATCCTGGCGTAGGTTCCTGGGGAGTCCAGATGCTGCAGGATGAAGTGTAGGGCCATGTTGATTGCGTCATCTACAGACCTGTTGGCTCTGTATGCAAACTGCAGGGGGTCCAGGAGGGGGGCCGTGAGGGTCTTGAGATAGGAGAGAACCAGGCGTTCAAAAGACTTCATGACCACAGATGTCAGAGCCACGGGTCGGTAGTCATTTAGTCCAGTGATCCTAGGTTTCTTGGGGACAGGGATTATGGTAGAGGATTTGAAGCAGGCAGGCACATGACATGCCTGCAGTGAGGAGTTGAAAATGCCAGAAAACACTGGGGCCAGCTCGTTTGCACAGTGTCTGAGGGTGGCAGGAGACACGCCGTCTGGGCCGGGAGCTTTTCGAGCATTCAGACTCGTAAACTGCTTCCTCACACCTGCTTCATGAATATGAAGAGTTGTGGTGGGAGGAGGTGGTGTGAAATCCTCCTTTGTGTGGGGTGAGGAGGGGGGTGTTGTAGGTGAAGTGTTTGAAGGTGGTGATGGCTCTATGGAGGGGGGAGAGGTGGGGGAATGAGTGTCCAAAGTGCCTCTATTGTTGGGGCCGTTGGAGGTGTGAAGGCTGCCTGATGGCTCGTCAAAACGGCAGTAAAAGTCGTTAAGGGTGTTGGCTAAGAGCAAGTCATCAGTGGAGTGGGGGGTTTTAGGCTTGTAGTTGGTGATATTCCTAAAACTTTTCCACACAGAGGCCGAGTCATTCTCTGAGATCTGCTGCTGCATCTTCTCAGAGTGCTGATGTTTAGCAATGTCCACTTCTTTAGTGAACCTGTACTTGGCCTCTCTGTAGCAGTCCCTGTCTCCGCTTCTGAACGCCTTTCTCTTTTCCAGCCACAGCTTCTTGAGTTTAGGAGTAAACCAGGGTTTGTCGTTGTTATAACTCACCCTGGTGCGTGATGGCACAATGCTGTCCTCACAGAAGTGGAGGTGACAGTGTCCGTAAACTCATCCAAGCTGTTAGAAGCAGCCTTCATTGTGTCCCCGTCTGTAGACTCCAAACACGTGCGAAGCTCCTCCACAGCCTCGTTGCTCCACAGTTTTTTGGTCCTCACGACAGGTTTGGAGAGCTTCAGCCTCTGTTTGTACGCGGGGATTAGGTGGATCATGACGTGGTCAGAAAGTCCGAGTGAAGCGCGGGGCACCGCGCGATAGGCCCCGCTGATCGTGCTGTAACAGTGGTCTAATGTCCTCTCCTCTCTGGTCGGGCATTTAATATACTGCTTGTATTTGGGAAGCTCATGGCTCAGATTGGCTTTATTAAAGTCCCCAAGAGCAATAATGAGAGAGTCCGGGAATGTCCGCTCCATGTGCAGTATCTGCTAAGCAGCTGCGCGCACTCC